AACCGTTTGTTTTATCTGACATTATCCATCTGTTGACAACAGTATCCTTTTACAAATTCAGATGCCTTTCAGTCATGTTCAATAATTATAACGGAAACTTATGCGTACGAAACTTCCATGCACGCTTTGGAAATAGGTACATGAATTCTTTTTTATTTCATTATAATGGATAAATGTATTTAAACAAGATTACTCGATAGTTTTAGAAAAATAAAGCATTCCAGAATCTTCAGGTATTCGTTCAATGATTATCGATTAAAATTTATTTTTGCTGATAAAGAAAAAAATAGTGTTCTTTTTTTATCGATTAAAGAACGAGGAATCAATATGAACATATAATTATAATTAACAAAAATCACATTTAATACATAATGTGATCTACTTTTTAAATACAAATGTTGCTCTTGAGTCTATTGATTGATTTGATTTCTCTGGTAATCATTTAAAATAAATGATTGATAATGCAAAATATTTAGATTTTTTAAATATAAAAATTATGATTAAAATATGTGAAACATATAAATATTATAAAAATAAAAATACGTAATTCAATAGATGGTACTTTCGTTAAAAATGGATTGGTTTTCTGTATCATGATCAGATTCTCGAGTTTTTTTTTTCTAAGGCATTTTGATTTTGGTGAGATTATATCTTGTATTTAATTATCTTTCTAGAGTATTTTTATTCTTAAATTTATTTAAAAAAAAGAATAAAATTAAGTCGTATTCGTTTTGGTGGTGATGATGATGCTGAGGGTGTGGGGTGTGGGTGTAGGTGGGTGGTGTGGATGATAACACAAGTAAGAACTACACCCGCACTCCATACTTCACACACAACCCCACACACCTCACACCCACACCCATCTATACACGCCACCTACATCCACACCTACACATACCACCCACCCACACGCACACCCATACCCAGCCTCTTCATAAAACTTCGATATGAAATCGAGAATCAATGTTTTGTCAATTGTCTTGCGTCAACAATCAGCGAAGCGATGCCTCTACGTAAAATATATGTTTGAGTGAGTCGCATTGAGAAACGTCGATTGAGTTATGTCGAGCGTCGCTTACATGGACGGGGTCTTATTTGACGTCATTGATTGCTCTTTTGGTTTCTGTGTTGTAGCTTTCAACTTGGTGTTTGTTTTGCTTATTCATTCAGACGTGTATAATTGCTATTGCGTTATCTTTTTTCTTCTCCATGTAAGAATGAGAGAAGACACTGACCATTCACATATCTATGTAAATATGCAAATAGTGTAAAATGAAGAACAACCTTTAACGGCGAACTAATGAGAAATTTTATCAATTTCTCTCAGTTTCGTTTTTGGCCACGTGCAAGGGAGATATGTTATACACCTAGTGAGTCAATAGTGGCGTTAGCGAAAAGAAAAAATTGAATATCTGCATCATTCTTAAGTAGAAGGAGTTCATTTTTTTTTATCACTGATAGAGAATTGTTCGTGGCTCATATTGATAAGAAAAATGTCAACATATACAGTAGTGAAAAATTTTTTCGGGTGATTTTATTTCAAGTATTACTTGGTCATGCATCAGTTTTCTAAGACACGATTTGTGTCAAAATTACAGCCTATGTCTATATTATATCCACACAAAATTTCATTCCTGAATGTTGAGTTATACCGCCAGCCGAAAAATGCCGCTCTGATTCACTGAATGAATCTTGTATGACAAGTACACGCTTTGTTGCCATAGAGAAAATAGAGAATCGATTGATATTACTGCACCAAAAAGCAAGACTATCTTTCACTCATCAGAAATGCTAGCAAAAGTGATTGACTTCGTGTTTTCGTGGTAAAAAAATTATGTTAATGCGAAAACAAACCTGCGATTTGTGTCAGTTAAAAACTTGACAACTCGACCGGTCTGGTATCCGTTTTAGCTATGTAATAAAAAAAAGCGAATATGTCATTATGTAAATAATATTCAGGTTGATCAGTTGTTCATTTTATTTTGTTCATAGCATGACACATCATACTGCCCACAAAAATATAGTTCCAAAAGTTTGTTCCATAAGCAAGATTAAATACTGAATATTGACAATAGGTACTTGAACTTTCAGGAGAATAATGTTGAACTGTCTTTTTGGCTTGAAATATCCAAACACTCCCCTTAATTGGAAAGATTCAAATAAGTTTTAACGATTTTTCGTGCTTTGTAGTAAAATTTAACTTACGGTTATAAACCATCCCAAACAAAATAAACTTAACAGAATAGTTAAACAAGACAAACACACTGGTTGTTCTAGAATGACCTATAAAAGTATCTTAGATTATAAAAGCATCAGTAACTAGAAGATTCTGTCTCAAATATTTTTAGGTACCAATCAAAAGAGAAAAAGACAAGTTAAAGAGTTTCCCATGATAAAGAAAAAACCAACTTACCATTAGAATCAGAATTATTATTGCAATCATCGTAACAGTGCCAGTAACAATCAAAAATATTGGAATACGAGGATCGATGGGACATTGATCCTTATATAAACTACCAATGACTACTTGAGTTACTGGTATTCCATTGATTAAAAGAAATCCAGCCACAAATATCAAGCATATGAATGATGTTGATAACGCTTTACCACAAATTTCTTTTTTGCCTTTGAAAAAACTTTCTTGTTTGATCGATGAAGAATCAAAAAACACATCGGATGGTTGCATGTTGGGAGTTACTTTGGCTTCGTAGTCGTTTTCCATAATAGTATCGTTCGGAAAATAACTTTCGTTACACTATTAATGAATTGCAATAGTCACTAAGAAAATAATCTATAAGTACTAGAAAAGAACATATTTCAATATTGTTGTCATCAGAACAAATACATCATTTTATTCATATAACGATGAAACAATTAGTCACTTACTGAGCTCGTTTATATAGAAAACTATTCTTCATCATCATTTTTCATCTCCTTACCACTATTAGCCTTTATCTCTTGAAACGTATCTTAATAAAATAAATGGCTTCACAATATTTGTTGAATGTTTTGATTCTCACTGCTGATTTATATATCGATGTTCGCATTTATATATTATCACTGCCTATGACAGATAACTCTTACGCTGATAACATTTGTTGACGTATATTTTGTTTTTTAAAGAAACAAAAACTTAATAATTGTGACTTGTTCGGTCAACAATGATATGACACAGTAAAAATAAAAGGTATTGAAGAGTACATATGGCTTTTAGACATGTATTTGATGCTTATTCTTCATAACATGTCTAAAGTTTCTTTGTTGTACTCTTTTTTTAGCTTCTATAAAACGTTTGTTTCTATTTACTTTTATTAAATTCTACATAATCAAAAAAGAAGTACTTCAATTTAATTATAATACTATCGATGATCATTTCAACTGAATCACTTTTCAACTGTCGACACTCTCTAAAACCTTCTCTCGGCATATCATATGTGACAATTAAACAACAATTGTAAAGCGTGTCAGATTGTTGATTGTGTGCCAAATGCATTCATGTAGATACCCTTTTGCTATATATGTTAATGATGAATAAGATTGAGTTGTTTTTTTTCTCACTACTTGTTTTTATAAATAACATGAAATATTTTCGAAGGAGGATGAATATCAGTGTGCGATCATATAAATGACACACACATGTTGGAACTCATCTTTAACGTCACAGAAGATTTGTTATTTATCCAAACGAAAGAAAATAAATGTGAAAACCTTGGATTTAAATCCGAGTGTTATGTGTACTTCAAAAAATAAAAACACAGAAACAATTTCCGTTTAAGTATCTTTGCAATAGGTGACTTAACCTTCTTGTTTCTTAATGTTTTACATACCATTTTGTAGCCCGTGAAATTCTCTATCGAATGGGTGTGTGGATGTGGAGTTTCATGATGGGTTTCTCTAGAACCCAGTCCATCCACACCCGTCACCATCTTGAGATAAAACTCGTTTAGTAAATAATTTATTAATACTTCAACATACAGTCGTCGTTCTTTGTATTTTGTTCTGCGCGCAACTTTTTCATATATTTAATCCACTTTAATCTGCTTCCTAAGAACATAGCTTGGCTCAACATGTATACAGTGAATCACAATGAGCGCCGAATAAACGAATACGATAAATAATCATTGACTTCTACTACACTATTTCATATTCGGGATTGTTCAGCACTTTATTTTAAAATCTTTTGAAAAACTCATGTTGATCAATTGCGGATAATTTATCCGCTCGTTTTCATGTTTATATCTTGATTACTAGAAGGGAAGATATTATTCGAAAGTATGTAATTTGAAAATCTGATACGAATATTCAAGGCTCATATAAATCATTTGATTACAGTTTGTTCTCGATCTGCATATAAATTAATTTTGTCATGCTTTAAAATTTATGAAACACTCTGTATGTACAGAGAAATAGACAATGGTGGGACATTTTCATCATAGGCATGAGTATATTGACGTCACACTATTGATACAGGCGATCATCCCACATATTCGTCATATCTATGGTCTTCCCATGTAAACTTTTGCAGTTATATCGTGATGGTTGTGACTCATCATATGTTTGCAATATGTTTTTTTTTATTTAATGACGACATATATATACATGACGTCAAGAGTGAGAGAATATTCATTCGTTTCCTTATGACTAACGTATTCATGGCTATGTTCTGTCGTTCATTTTACGAACTATTTTCTTTCCTTCGTTTTTTCATTTTGTTCGTAACAACATGGCGAAGGTTGGCGAAACATACATAAAAAAAAACTTTCCCTTTGCCTTTCATAAAAAGGTACTATACTACCTCGAATATTTTATATCACAACGAGAAAATGACAAAATCATTACTTGCTTTAGTTTTCTTTCACATGACTGGCCTTCTTCCAATGATATCCGCGGTGAAAATGTCAATTGACAGCTTCAGTGGAGCATCTACAAACAACGAAATCAACTCATTTATAGCCTATATCAGGACTATCGAGCCCGAAACTTGGTCGACTATCACGAATATGGCCAACGAATATGCTCAAGGTCATAGTGGTGAAGCAATTAAAGCCATGGGTCTCATGTATGAAATCACAGGGAATAAAAGTATACTCGATCGAATGGTGCATTTTGTTGATGTACTTTTGTCACAGCGCAATGATATTCTGCCACCTCCAAAAGGTCATCGCACGGCTTGGACGGGTACTATTGCCCCTATATGGCCAGGCAATACTGGTAGTCCAGCAACCGGAGGTGCTGAACAGGGCGATTCTGTTGGACACCTCGCGTACTGTGCTCGACTCATTCTTACGAAAAAGGATTTGTGGAACATGAGAGTTATCGACGGAGATCCGTTTCATCATGGTAATACTTATCTGGAACGTGCGAAAACATATCTTGCCCAAGCGGACGTGACAATATCACAATTTCTCTTTGCTCATCTTCTTCATCTCAAAGACAATAAGCATTACTTCTTTGCAAAAGCATCGCCATATAAGAGTGGAGAAAATCTACCCTGGAATCAACAGATGATGATCTCGTATGGCCTACAAAATGCTGCTGTCGCTCATGAAATTCTTAGTGCTAATGCAACTCTTGTCAAGGAATATGATGATATTGTCCAAGCTAATCTCCAGTGGTTTTGGTCTCTCGTGCAAAGAAAGACAATGAATAAAAGCAAGTTTACAATTGGGGTTATTCTCCTAGCCAACAAGGTGGTGAAGATTCTAATCATGGAAGCCTTGATGTTGCCGGTTTCTGTCGAGCATATGCTCTCAACCGTTATAATATCACTCAGACAACGATGATACCGTTTGCCAATATGCTTGTCGAAGTGATGACGCTTCCAAATTCACAGTACGCTGGTCGAGTCGATGGAACGAGTGGACAAGGCCATGCTGCAAGTACGAACAATATTCGTAGTGGATATTTATGTTTAGCGTATTTCGCTCCTAATTACTATACGAAGATTATGAGTGCTGATCTTATTGAGGGGGGCACAACACGTAGTCCTGATGTATTTTCGCGCTTCGAATGGGTTAAGAGCAAATTATCTACACCAAGCTGAACGACAAAAAAATGGGTTCAATCTATTAATTTATTAACAGCGTTTATATATCTTGTATCTTTTTTTCTGAATAAATATTCATTCAGAAGCGAAGTCTTCGATAAGTTTGACATAGGAATGCGAGCTTAGCATTCGCACTGCATTACTTAATGATTCTGGATTAGAGTTAAAAAAGTAACTTAATACTTTAGTATTACAGTTAAAAAAATTACTTCAATACTTTGGCATTGGTATTAGAAAAGTATTAACCTAATGGTGATGCTTATGATTTCCAAGAACAGAACAAATTTGTTCTGTTATGGAAAGCCGTTCCCCAAAAAAAGCACAGAGTTGCTCTGTTTTGGGAAAAATGTTCCCATAACGAAACAATTTTATTCCGTTCTTGGAATATATAAGCATTACCATTACATTAATATTTTTGTAATACTAATGCTCAAGTATTAAATTAATTTTTTAACACTAATGTAAAAGCATTAAGTTAGTTTTTTAACACTAATACAAAAGTATTAGCATTTTCTTAACACTAATGTTAAGCCAGCACCCCTAAGTTCTCTTCGAAGTGGGCATTCTTTGACGTAAATAATTAATATACTTTGAATACATTCTTGAATGTGAAGAACGGAGAGAAATAAAAACTAGTGAAGGGATGGTGTGTTTTATATTAATGATGGTACCCATGCAGACAGAAACATCATCTTTTGTACAAGTTTTGTCTCAGAAAAAACGGTGTATCATTTATATAGGGTTTTTTCCCCTTTTGTACAGATTCTCGGCATCAAAGTATTTAATTGCGAAAAAAGCTGAAACAATATTGAACATTTAGGAGCACTTCAAGACATAAGATACACAGTAAATTATAATGGGTCTCCTCAAGATTGTTCACATTTTTCGTCTTACTGCGAATATATAGTATTTTCTTACAATATGCCAGTCTTAATTCAACAAATAATTATACGTTACTTTTGAAAACGTATGGTGTTCCGTTGTTTGTCGGTACCATACATTTTGTTAAAAAAAGAACAAAATTTATTCAAAATAAGGACTTTGAAATTTTTTTTCAGGCATATTTGTAGTTGTGTAGTAATTTGAATGTTTTATTTACCCGTCTATATGATTCTATATCAGTAAGCTTTTACATGTAATGGAAAAAACAAATGTTATGCTAATTAGAAAAATTTTTACGAAAAATCTAAATTACTACTTAACTTTTAATATACTTGAAAAAATTGACAAAGTCCTTATTCTAACAAGAACAAACAAGAAGAATTGTAATGAAACTCTACAATAAGACGATGTTATCTATTCTGTAACTAGCCAAAAATTCTAATAGATTGGTTCTTAGATGTCAATGATAATCTGTATCTAAAATTTGTTAATTTGGTGGTGAAAGTGTATGGATGGGTTGTAAATGTATAGAGTGTCGGCATTAGACATCGACGTGACCGTGACTGGAGCCTGGTCACGGTCGGTCACGATAAATTTTCAATATGGCCGTATAACGGCTATTTTTCTAATATCATGCGAGAATTCAATCAATTGCAACAAATTTTCTTTGGAGAGTTTTTTTTCGAGAGTGCTTAAATTCTACAATCAATCAAAATATCAGATATATTTTGTTATATCTGTTTGTAAATCCCTTTCTTTTCTTTTTTTCACACCACCAATGGCCATTATGTTATAATTTTCATAAATAGGAACAACTTTTACTCAGCGTTTTATGACCTCGTCAACACTAAAAAAAATAATATGGTAGTGACTTCATATTGTTGTTGGTAGTGGTGGTGAAAGAACAAAGGAAGATGACAATAATGAAAAAGAAGAATTTGTTCTTAATGGTAATTTTGGTGAATCTTTTGATTGATAATTATCGATAAATCGAAGAATATCTTCAATAATTTTGATTTATTCTTTTCTAGCATGTATTTATTCGATATGTTTCATGTTCAAGTTAAGATGAAAAAAATCTTTTTTATTTCAAAATTTCAATTGAGTACCTTACTGTTATTTAATTATCATTCGATGAATTTCTTCTTTGAGAAGTTAGGCAAACGATTATCGGATTCGATAGGTTTAATGATGCTGCTCCCATTGGTATCGATGGATCAGATCATTGAGAAAAGTGAACATCATCTCCTATTTTGCTTCAATATAATTTGTAAAATGATAGAACTATAATTAATGAGAAATATCAATTAGAATTCTGCTAGGAATATCTCTTAGCTAGAGAAAATCGCATCGAAACGATAAAAAAAACTTTTGCTGTATAGTTTTTTTTTATATAAAATATGAATAAAAAAGTCAAATATCTTTCCTAATCAGCATCAGAAAGACAATTTGTCGTAATTAAATGAACAAAAAGGTTGTAGTTTTCAAAAGAAAATTTCATTCATCCTCCTATATGGTAACACGTAGCATAGAACGAAAGTCGGTCGATAGGCTTTTTTGCTTTTACAAGCCATGAAGAAAATGTCAGTATCTCTTCTGAATGACGCAGGAAAATCCCTTATCCATGTTAATTTACTGTCGTCGCTGAAGTCATTGAAAGCATTTTTAAAATTTTATTCTTTTACAACTTTGACATCTATGTAGTCACTCAAAAAGAAATTATTGAAACACTTGCACTTCATCATACGAACAAGTAGTTTACTAGAAAAAACAATATCTGATTTGCATTTTGATTTTATCCAGAGATAGTCAAAGATGGAGCCTCATTGGAGTGCAAATACCAAGATTGCAGATCAAAGTTCTGAGTCACCAGATGGAAATTATTGAAAACTATTTTTTTCGATACAAAAAAAGTATTTTCTTTTTCTTTCTTGAACAGTTAACTAAATTTTTTTTCTCTTTTTTTTCTTTACGTGAGATAGTGCAAATTTTGAGTCCGTCATAGTTATACTTCCTCTGCGTTCTCTCCCTATACGTTTATGATGTATCTGTTCTCGCTTTCGTCGTCATCTTCTAGTCCGTATTAATCAGTTTTTTCTCGCAATTTCTTCTTCAAATATCAATGTTAGTATACCGTACCGATAATAAAATCTCTCATGTATTTTTTTAATATGAATAATTTACTGTTGTCTCTGTTCTTGTAGGCATCTGCTAAAAACTAATCTCTTCAATCAGTTCACCTTGATTCTTCTTCTGTTCTGACGAATAGAAAGCAATATCTCTATTGACCTGAAAAATCCAGACCTGACTGATTTCTATGTTTTTTGAAAACCTTGAAATTCTTATCAAAATATTCTTCACATACGACAAAAGTTATCTTACTGGTAAAACTCCTATCGGAAATTCTAAGAAAATCTTTCTGTCATCTCTCTTCTGACATCAAACTGAAGTGATGAATCTAATCAAAGCTGAAAAATACATCGATAAAGAAATACATTCAAAACATGTTTCATATGGAAAAAAACCAATGGTACTTTAGATGAGTACATTACAAATAGTTCAATTTCGTAACACTAAAATAAAGTAAAATTTAAAACTTAAAACAAAGAAAAAGCAAATGTTGGATGATTTGAAGAGGCTTCAGGATAAAAACTCTTCCCTGTTAATCAAAAAAAGAGATGGCAAAATCGTTTCATATATGTTGAAATCTTTGAATTTTTCTCCTTTTTTTTCTACTCACTGAAAAGTTGCTGCATGTTCTCAAAGACCACTACAGGTACTACATGAGGAAATCTCGTTAAGAAGTCTTCTTTCTCTTCATGAATATCAATTTCGTATTCTAACAGAACAAATTCATATGAAACAATATGACTATTGACAATTTATCGTTAATAACATTAAATGAAACACACACGGTAAAAATCAGATTTTTAGTAGAAGTCTATTGACACACGATAAAATCGAACAGTGGCTCGATCGTTGGAATAAACAATCGTCATCGTCTTAATGAATCAATGATATTGAATATTTCTAAATTGATAGTAATTCACATTTGTTACTCTTCGATTCGAAATTTCGTCTGTTTCTTGCAAAGATCAAGTGACGTAAAGCTCCACAATAATGTCAGTCTAACTCTTGGTCGCTTGTTTCTTACCTCAAAAACAGCTCGTGGATTGGAAGTGAATTTCTTTCCAGCTTATTGGATCATTATTTTTGACATCAGTTGGTATTCAGGTCTTTTCTCAATACAACCCAGTCGTTGATATTCAACTTAATGTCTCTAAGTTTAACCGTTGATCTTCAAGAGGTATTTCGTTGATATCGATTCAGTCAAAAGAAACCAATTTATATCTATCGTAAGTGAAAGAACACAATCAGAACGATCATCAAAACTGTTTATTCTTATGCAATTTTTCTAATTGTATTTGAGGTCTAATTGACAAAGGAACAATGAAGAAGAAAGTCGACAAACGACAGATCTCCAAGCAAGCAGTATCTGATATCATTTTACTTATGATGAAGTTGCTCGATTGTATCAATTTGAAACTGATCTTCACTACGATTCGTGACATCGATAAAATGCTAATCTAATCGAAGATCTAATTCTTCAAAGTCTAATCAATCAATACAGCGATACAATAGTATCATGTTGTCAACATGGTTGATTTTAAATTCATTGAAATCAATCTTTTTTTGACAGAACAACCAGCGAAACGTAAATTTTATTTGAAGCAGTTTCTTTCTTTCAATTCATTAACACATGATCGACAATGTAACCGAAGAACGAAATCTTTCACTTTCAGAGCAAAGCGAAAGAAACATTCGATCATAGTTCACTTTTGACAAATTTGTTGTCAATCTTAATCTGGAATTTCGATTGATCGACGAATGTTTCCCTGCAATGCAATGCAAATAATACGAATTGGTTCTCAATTCTGTGATGAATCAAGAAGTAGTAGAAGTGATCTATAGTAATAGAGAAGAGAAGGAATTTGTTTCTATTACTTCGATAATCCAGATCATGCTATACTAATGTACAAGTCAAAAATAAATCGATGAAAAGATACCTTAGCATTGCTCAAGACGCGTGATTAGTAGTTTTTAATCGAAGATGAAGAAGAAAATAGCGACAGAATATTTATAGCAGAATCTCTATTACAAACTTCTATGACTGCTCAAATGGATCAATCACATAGGAGAACTATTGAATTATTTTTCCAAATGTTGTCTCTTTATTTTCAAAAAAAAAACACTTATTTACGACCAAATGTCCAATGAATGTGGCTTGTGTCGATAATTTAATGAACTAATCCATCTTGGTCGAGAGAGCGATGACATGATGTACCATTCTGGAGCCAAATGGGATAAATTGTTGGAAGAATCTTGAAGAAATTTCTCATGTTGGCAGTACAACGTGAAATGAATGAGCTTTGAAAAGCGTTTGAATATTTTTCCAAGCCAACGAATCAAATGGCGAGTAGAAAGCCACGAATCTGGATGTCCATCAATGTTCAGCGTCAACTGTTTCAGACGAGGCGTCGATGGAGAATGACTGAAAAGTTTGTCCACTATTCGCACAAGATCCTTAAGTGAACAATCAGCATCTTTTGTCTTAAAATATAATATTTCAATTTGAGATGAGAGTAAAATGCCGAGTTCAACATTCGAAGAAAGAGCACGACCAAAATCAAGATCTGATTCGATGTAAAGTTCACGAAAATATGGGGAACGTTTTGCAATATGAAATAAATGAGCAATATTTTCACCGACAACACCACTAAATTGTTTTAAAGAAAATAATTGAGATCAAGGATAAATTTCAAAAGAAAACTTACTTATCATCAGGAAAGTCTTCTTCAAGGTTGATTTTTCTAAGACGATGCCAACAAGATACTGCTTCTAGTTGTTGAATTAATTCATCTTTAACATAATCTAATTCGTAAATTTCCATCTAGAAATAGATTTTCTTGTTCCAAAGAGTTATTGACATGTATTCATTTTCTTACTTCTTGACAATTTTCGTCGATAGGTTCATCTGGAACGCAATTACTACTCTGATTCGTCGTAGGATTTGCGAGTCATCTGTGGATAGCGAAAGTTCACTTGCTCATAATTTGCCGTTGATTGAATGCCGGTTGCTTGGCAGTATTCGACATAAAGATCATCACTGCATTGTTCACCATTGAGTACGTGATACATGCCCAATTTAATTTGAAATGTAAATGTATTCAATTTAGTCAATGCCAACCATTGTCGTAATACGACCACTCGTGGAAGACTGTCTTTTCCACCGGATTTTATATCACCCGATATGGTCAAGCGTTCCAGTTGACTATGACGTTGAAGATCTTCGAAAAAGTTTAAAACCCAGGTAACACCAACATAGAGTTTAATGCTGACGCAACGTAATTCAGGTACAACGGCTTGTTGCAATGGTATCGAACTTGGTGGCTCAATGCCAAGATCAGCGAAAGCACTAGAAAAGCAATGACAAAGAAAATTTCCGTTACATGTTTCTTTTTGAGTCTATGTGACTTACCAAGAGATGATGACACTGAGTCGACGTAATCGAGGTAAATAACCATCATTGAGGAGCTTGATGAAAAGCTCTCTTGAACATTCATCGATAGTGAGTATTTGTAAATTCTGATGGATATTGATTCGAGGACAATGTTGATCGAACAAAGAAAGATAATTCTGAGAAAGACGATCACCAATACGCAAGTAGAGTGAACGCAGTTGAGGATAGAAGTTCAGAAGTGGAACTACAATGTTAAAATCAGTAAATTGTTCGTATTGAGAATGATGATATCGATCATGATCAATATCCAACGACAGTGAGTGAATATTGGACAAGAATGAATTGTCATCTAATAGTGTTCCGAACAGGTGACATGGTACATCTTCGATGGTGACAGCTTGTAGTTTTGGCCATGTCGATTTATCAAGAGGTACTTCTGAAATGAATAAATTAAGTGCATGTGGAGCACGTCGTTCGGATAAGTGAAGATAGACGAATTGTGAAGCATATTTTGGTATAATTTTGGTCAGATAACGAAGATACAATTTCAAGTTCATGTGTCGATTACAAGGCAAGCAGAGTGGTTGTTGAATGAGTATCGTTGTAAATCGTTTGTTGAGTTTTTTAAAGGCGCGAAGTAGATCATGAGGAGCAAGATAAGTGAAAATAAGATAAAATATTTCAGCAGATAAATACTCAAGACACGATCGTTGTTCAGTCATGATAATTGGTGAGATTTTTTACATCAGATAGCTATTTATACTATCAAATATTTCAGTGTTGACCTTTTTCAAATAATTGGTTAGATTGAGTGACATCATGAATAATGATCGTCTAAGAGGACAAGAAAGAGAATAGAACAGTCGACAAGTTGTCAAATTTGTCAATGAACAGTTGAGAACAGGAATGACATATTCTTACATGGGCATACTTATTTTATGAGTCATTTTTTCTTTAGTAGTAGAGCTAAATGGTTCTTTCTAATAATTATAAGTGAACATGAAAAAAATATTGACGTAATCGATCAAAACTAGATTAAATATTTGTTTTTTTTTGTTAATATGTTATATTTATTTTTTCTTCTTTATCTGTTATAAAGAACTTTTCTATATGGCATATTGTTATTTTCTATCCGACACTATTTACACTTTCTCCTGATTGATGATGTTTTGTTTGAAGAGTGAGTGCGTTGTTAATGAAAGAACTACAGATTGTATGTATGTACTTAGGGTATACCAAAAGTTCTGATCACAGTTTTTAAAATTTAATAAAGCAATAAATATTGAATATTTTACTAAGGCAATATATAGTATAACGTCTCGTCTTTAATAATGTATAGAGCAACTCTCTCTTAGACTTAGTTCTAACATCCTTTCAGACTAAATCTATAGTATTTATAGCCAAGAAAAGATCATGCCAACATAAAACCACAATACAGAAACGAAGAGACATTCGTTATTTTATTTTATTAAATGCTCAAAATAATCACCATTATTTTCGATACAAAGTTTCATTCTTTCTAACAGTTTATCGAAAGTCTTTTTAAACTCGTTTATTGGAATATTCTTCACTATGGTGGAAACCTCTTGAGCTAATGATTCTTCGTTTGTGTGATCCGTCAACTTGTTCTTGATATAATCATTTAGCCAAAAGTCACACGGTGCGAGATCTGGTGAATATGGTGGATGTGGAATGATTTCGATTCCTTCCTCCATTAAATAATCAATAACATCTGGATGAGTATGAGGAGGACCATTATCATGAAGCATTTTATATGTAGTACGTGATGACTTTTCCTTTTTTCTTATTTCATTGATAACAGGTATAAGACAATTATCAATATAGTAGTCATGATCGATTGTCTTGCCCTTATCTACTTTGTGTATGAGAAGAGAACCAGTGGATTTGAAGAAGAAGCAAAATAGTGTTCTAGGTTCAAATCTATTCCGACGAACAATGGTTCTTGGTGGTTCATTTTCACCAACCCAAGTAGCATTGCTTGACTTTCGACCAATCTGCCTGTGATAAATCCATGTCTCATCACCAGTAATAACATCACATAAATGCCATGTTCCATTTCTAAATTTCTCTAAATTTTGACGACAAATTCTAAGTCGTTTTTGTTTTTGTTCGTCAGTAAGTTGATGAGCAACCCAACGTGATGTAACTTTTCTCATCTTTAGACGATCATGAATAATTCGTTCTATTGTACCACGTGATAGATCAGTCTCACCCATAATATCATCATAAGTTGAGTGTGGATCATCTTCGATAACTTGTCGAACGCGTTCAACATTTTCATCTGTAAGTACCGAAATCGGACGACCAGATCGAGGATCATCAGTGACATCGTCTCTTCCTTCACGAAAACGTTTCGCCCATCTTCTGACTGTTGGATATGATGGAGCATCAAGTCTCAATGCCTCTGTAAGTTCGTCAAAGATTGTTTTTGAATCTATTCCCAAAATAGCTCGAATTTTGATATAATATCGATTGAATTCATCAGTCATGTTTAATGTCTTCTTTTAAGATTGAAATCAAATTCTATTACGATTTTAAGTCGAGTACGGTACAAATGAACTAACAGCGAACGACCTCTCATTTATATATACTATCGAAATGTAATATTCTAGAACATGACGTCATAAAACGTGACGAGAGAGTGACCAATAGAAAGTTCCAGAATGTACCTGACCATTGAACAAGAATTAATAATATTTGCATTGTCTGTAAAATTATAGATTTAGTCTGAAAGGATATTAGAACTAAGTCTAAGAGAGAGTTGCTCTATATATTATTAAAGACGAGACGTTATACTATATATTGCCTTAGTAAAATATTCAATATTTATTGCTTTATTAAATTTTAAAAACTGTGATCAGAACTTTTCGTATACCCTAAGTATTTCCATCTAACAAATATAAATAAATAAGAGATTAGTATTAAAAGACAGACGAGACAAGAAAGATCAATACTGAAAAATCACAAATTAACTGTTCGAAAATAAAATAGATCATTTATTATTTTTCCTGTATCGCTATTCGAGTTTGGTGTGATTGTCGTGACCAACATTGACGAGAGTAACGATATCAGTCATGAAATTTCATCAAAAATTTAATCAGTTTGAATAGTTATCTGATATGAAATGATTCAAATAATATAAAAATAAATATGGCTTCGCAACCACTCATCTTTAATCTTAATAACGTGAACGAAACAGATCTATAACATAAAAATCATGAAGTTTGATTTGTTTTTGAACTTAGTCATTTGATTATCTGTGTTTGTTTTTGTGGATGTTAATAATTTCGAGAACTCATTTATCGAGGCTCAAAATGGTCTAGGCTGGATCAAAGAAAACCGACTTTTAGGCTGTGTTGATTCTGATTAGTTCACCTAATAAAAATTCTTCTCGAACATAATCTTATTTTCCAGAATAATTGAAGTTGTTTATAATCATTATTATTTTCTCTTCTGTCTGACGGTTACAGTTAGAAATTATGTAATATACTTAAGTATATGAAGTTTCAATCAGCTGAACAGCTTATGAGATTAGTAAAAAAAGTTCGCAATCGAATTGAACTCAAATGATCTGAAACCGATGACAAACTTTTGTCATATTACTTCAAATTAATGATTAGATCTTTTTCTTACGAACAGGAGTCATTATGTGTTCATTTCATCTGATTAGACTAAATTTAGACATGTAGTAACTTGATTTCGTATGTAAGAAATTAATAATCGCTCCATTCAACGATATATAACAAGAACTGATCATTATTAATTTTTGCTGAAACTAACGAAAGTTGATTGACGAATTGCAGTTTAATGTACTGAACTGGAGCTGACACGTATCTTCACATAGTTAATCACATTCAAACAATTTTTCTGTACAAATATACAGTTGAAAACAAAAAAGAGAATAGTATATTTCATCTAAATAAATTAAGCTTTAGAAAATAAAAATAAAAAGACGAATAATATTGACAAAACCAATATTTGTCACTCGAATCAAACAGCTGTATCAGCTTCAACCCTAACTATGCAACCAATTGAAATAAGTCGGTGTTCATTTGAAAATCGATTCATGGGCGCCCACGGTAAAAAGGTATTAATCCAGTCCATCCAATGGTTTTCGTTTCAAAAAATTTCAGTCTCTTTGGAGCCCTAGAATCTAAAGTTATTAGGATGAATGAAAAAAATTGATACTGAATAATACAATATTATAACAGACTTCAATTACGTTGGAGTTTTCTTTTTCATTCAAAGGAAATATTTAATTATTGTGTTAAAAGCAATTGTTTTTTGTTTGTAACTATATGTTTATTGCTAAACACTGCTGTTTACTTCTCAATGAGAGTCGTCTATTGTATGTTTTAAAATTTCTTAGATTGTAAAGTATATTAGAAATAATTTTATTCAAAAAACTAATATTTTTAAATGATGATTTCATTTTTTTTTAAATATGAATTCTGGTAAAATAAATTGCAAAAGCTAAAGTTCTAATTTAGTCTTATTTAACTTTGTCTAACTAGTTTTTGTACTCTATGATAGAAATTCTTTATTCATATTAAAATTTGGAAAAACTTCAAGTAAAATTGTATTGAATAACATCTCAGAATATTTATTAACATGTAGAAATTGATCACTTGATCATATATTTCAATCGGGTGGGTGTGGGTGATGTTTGTCTTGTCTTCATACACACATTCACACCCACACACCCCACACCCACCCCATCCACACCCACCCACACCCCACACCCACACCCCACCTACACCCTATTCCCACCACACCCACACCCACCCACACCCACCCACACCCACACCCCACCCACACCCTACTCCCACCACACCCACACCCAAATTACATCAAAGAGTGTAACTGTGAAATAAAATTTAAACATTTACAATAGAAGATTGTTGAAATAATAATAAAAAGACAAGACAAACAGATCTAAAAGAACACTTGATAAAATACGAATTTTTGCAAATTTCTATTAATAACAAAATTGTTTTTTTTTTGCCTTGTCATAAATTTGAAAAAAATTTAAAAAAAAAGAATTTAAACATATTTAATCTATGAGACATTAAGTTTTCATTGTTTTTAAAAGAATTCTAAGAAAATTTTTCATAGAAATATTAAAAAAAGATAAGTGAAACAATTTTGAAGATTTATATAAGACTCGAAAATAATCATTTTTTGTTATAATTGAGATCTTATTCAATTTGTTTTGTTAATCATTGAAGAGCAATAAAAGATCTTTCGATACATAGACACATATCTCAAAGTTTTCTTTGGATGATACTTCAAACGGAAAACAAATTAATTTGAATAACATCGAAAAATTGAAAAAAGTTCGAATGACTTTCTCAGTATTAAATATTCATAGAAAATTGAAAAGTTATTTTATTCTCATTGATAAAAAGAATTTTTCAATGTTGATATTTAGAAAATAGATATAGTAAATCAAACTTTGAAATATTATTAGAAATTTCAATAAAAAATATCATTATTAATAAATTATGAAAAAAAAACCTGTTTTAATTTTTTGTCAACTATTTACTCAAACTATTCTTGTTTTATCTTAAACTTACGGTAAATCACATATTTTAATCTTTTTTATGTATTTTATAAACTTGTTTAAAGTTATAATTATCTATTAAGATCAGTAAGAAGAATTTTTTGTTTTTGATACTTAGAATATTGATATTTTTGGTTT